GGGTTTTGTTTTGGAGTGGGGGTGTGGAAAGGAGATGAGTCATGAGTGGGGGGATTGATTAGTTATATAGTAGAGTTAACCATGGTTAGAATTGGGGTTTAGAGTTAGTGATGTGATTGGATTGAGGATAAATTTCAAAAGAATAGAAGTGTTTTGCTAGGTCAAATTTATTTAGGGCTTGTTTGGAAACACTTATTGATAAGTCCATTTCAAGATGGACTTTTTGAAAAGTGACTTCTCAAGAAGTCTTCAATATAAACTTCTTTGAAATGGACTTTTTGTAGGAGTTACTTTTTTAAAAGTCCATTTTATTGTTTACACCAAACATCTTTTTATATTGGAAATGGACTTTTATAGTCAAAAGTCCATTACAAAAGTGCTTCCAAACATACACTTAATTTTTGTGTTCTTGGATGTGTAAAACTAATAGAAGTTGCAATACCTAAGAATTTCAATCCAACCAAATTTTAAAATCTACATGTATATCAAGATTTATGTAAAACTTTTACTTTGGACACATCTCATAATAAATATTGTGATAATATAATTTGTTAGATGAGTATAAATTGATATTCTTAAAGGAAATGAGGTCTTCTCCATTGAAATACATAATTGGAACAAAATAAAATATGCATTTGGAGTTTACTTTTACCTTCTTCTTTGGAGGAAGATGATGGAGTACAAAATTGAGAAATAGTTGTTATTTTTAGGGTTTAGAGTTTTTGCTTTTTTTGTTTATTAATTGGCTTGTGGGCCCAATGTCAACCACCCCTTAAAAACTAAGACCCAAACATTGAATCAATTTTTTTATTTTATTTTTTTGAGTAATTTACACACTTATACATATATATAAGACTGATTTTCATATATACTAATGGTGAAAAATTTTACTAATTAAGGATTTTGAGAGATATTTATTTTCTTTTTTTTTTTCCCCAAAACGACATGGAGATGTTTATTTTCAATAATATGAATATCTTATCTTTCCAAATAAATATCTCTCTTTAATTAGGCTAATTAAAGGCGAATCAAAACGGATTCAAATATAAGAAAAATATTAATCTTACTAAATTTGATGTCTACTATGTTGGGTTGGAAGAATTCAAGTTTCCATCGCCATGGTACTTGTGAAAGCAGGAGGAGAAGCGGTTGTTGCTCTAGAGTGACGAGTGTGGCAAGACCTGAAGGGAAAAATCGAGGCATTTAAGGTGGTGGAGACCTATTTGAAGGCGAGCGCCAAGGATCTAACCATCGAGGCAGTTTCCGGAGAGGTCGATCTTATGGAGGTTGGATAGGCTCCGGAGGGAGCCCGGGATTTCCTCTTCCAATTGACTGTGTGATGTAGCAGGAAGCATGAGAGGGAATGAGATTTACAGAGAATACACGCAAAACTCGTTCTTTCTTTCTGGAACAATTTCACAAATCTGATAACTGCCTGTTCCAAATACACAACTGCTTCTAAATATTACATCACAATCCTAAACAATATTAATTAAAAGCCCAACACAATAAGTCCACAACAACATAATAAAAAGCCCAAAATAACATAAATAAACATAGCTAAATAATAATAAAATATAATAATAATGATCAAACTAAAGGCCAGAGTCGATCATATGTGTCGAGAAATGCCAATGCAATCTCGTCGGCATCATTCTCCCCTGGGTGGAGAGGATTCGCCCTCGAATCCGTAATCTCGTCGGCATCGTGGACGACCCTATCGACAAAATCACCTACGTCAAAGACCATCGAGCGACCATCCTCCAACCCGGATAACTCCCTACACTGCTCGGCGCGAGAAACGAATAAAACCAGAGACGACGATGGCAAAGGTCCAGAACTGGATGACGACGGATGCAGGACTATGCGAACGCCCTCAAATAAAAAACTATATATGTTGAAGCGTCCATCATGTACCACCGAGCGATCAAACTGCCAAGGTCGGCCTAATAAAACGTGCCAAGAATCCATAGGTACGACGCCACGCCATGTCATGTCCTTATAAGAGGATCCGATAGAAAAGGACACCAACACGCGTCGAGTGACACGAACAAAATCACCATGATGTATCCACGCAAGAGCATACGGATCCGGATGTGGCTCACATAACAACCCAAGTTTCATCACGACCTCATTCGAAACCACATTCTCGCAGGAGCCCGAATCAATGACAAAACGAAACACCCGACCGCCAATGGTGCAGGTAGATTCAAAAAGGTCGTGTCGCTGGACCTTATCCTTAGAAAAGATGTGGGGAGACAAAAGAGACCGATGAAGGACAAGCGCGTGACCCATGTCTCCGGAGACATGCACCTCTGGAACTTCTGGTTCTTTATCGAAAGTTGGAGGACCATCATAAACAGTCGAGTCGGGCTCCTCAACAATCAACGCTCTGGACCCTTTCGCCTTGGGGCACTGTGCCTGACGATGACC